ACTTCTTTTCACACTTTTATCTCAGGATTGCTTGTTTTTTTTTATTTCAATTTACAAAATGTGTTCCTTGCAAAAATAATGGAACAAAATTCATTCCATATGGTGCCGAGTCTTAAAATATAAATTATCTGCAGTCTGTAGAAAAACTTTAATATTTTAGTTATTTTTTTTACTCCGTACTGTTTCCCACTGGGTAGTAGAGTTTCTGTCGGTGTGGCTCGAGGGTTCCCTCTGTTAGCAGGAACATCCAAGGTTATTCTGAGCAGGAAAGAAGCTCAGATCATCAATAACCATGAAACTAATCGGTAGTCGATAAATAGGTCGCCATAGTCGCAGGCGTTCACATTGAGATGGATGAAGTAGAGCAAACATTCTGGCAGTAATCTCTACTTTCTAGGCCTGGCAGTCTGCAAACACGCCCCCTACCTGACTGATGTGCTCATAATGGCGCTTTAATAATGTTTCATCCACTTCATGGGTAATTTCAGCCAGAGTCTGATTGGTAACAGACACCCACCAGCAGTGCTGTTATTCCCATTATGGACCTCATGCTGGGATTTCCTGGTTATGACGCCAACTCTTGTGGAAACCAAGGAGGCCGTTATTATTCCTTTTATATTTCACTGCTTAGTATGAGGCTGGCATCCAGAACAACAACACATCACATAATAGATGGAAAATAAACTTCATGCCAAAGAAATATCAGCTGAACTGAATTTATGCTTGTAATATCTAAATGAAAAGGGGAATATCCTGAACATATTGTTGATTTATGAAGGAGTTCATGATGGCAATAAGTTTGGGATCATTATGTGGCTCCAGAATAGTGCAATCATTTCCTGAGTGCTGCCTGTTTTTGCAGTCGATTGCTCTCTGATGCTCCTCATGTCACCAAATAAACTGACGTACGATTGAGAAGAGCGCCGAGGGAAGCGTTTAGCGCCTCTCATGCGCTCCGAGCAGCCAGGAAATGAAAAGGGCCTTACAGATGAGACACTTTGTCTTTGCAGCATATAATTACAGCGCAGGAAAGTGGTTTGACCGCCATCGTAAAGAGAAAAGGCCAGACTCGGCTACATTAATACACACTGTTTCATGTTTGCCTAAAGCAGATGTGTCTGAATCCACTCATTGTGTTTCATGGATATTGTATTTTGTAAAAGCACTTTTATTTTGGACAGTTTGGAAATATGATGCTTTTTTGAAAGCTGTCTGATACAGTATGAAGGGATTTCTGTCTGTGGGAAACGGGAGGAAAATCTGATGGTTCTCTATCGGTGGACTCCCGTCTTCAGGTCGGTGGTGAGTCCTTGTCTCAAGTGGAGGAGTTCAAGTATCTCGGGGTCTTGTTCACTAGTGAGGGTCGGATGGAGCGTGAGATCGATAGACTGATCAGCAGTGATGCTGTCGCTGTATCAGACTTACTTGGTGAAGAGGGAGCTGAATCGGAGGGCAAAGCTCTGGATTTACCGATGGATCTACGTTCCCACCCTCACCTCTGGTCAGGAGATCTGGGTAACGACCCAAAGGACAAAATCATGAATACAAGCGACTGAAATTAGTTTCCTTCTCAGGGTGGCTGGGCGCACCCTTTCAGATGGGGTGAGTAGAGTTGTTCTCCCCTCATCGTCGTGGAAAGGATCCAGCTAAGGAGGATCGAGCATCTGTTCCTGATGCCTCCTGGTCGCCTCCCTCTGGAGGTTTTCCAGGCAGGTCCCATTGGGAGGAGGCCTGGTGGAAGGACCAGGACGCAATGGAGGGACTATGTCTCTGAGCTGGCCTGGTGTCGCCTTGGGGAGCAGCTGGAGGAGGGAAGTCTGGGCATCTCTGCTTAGACTGCTGCCTCCATGACCCGGATAAAGAGGAAGAAAATGGATGGATGGAGACAAGAGAAGGATTCCAGTATCAGTATCTTCCAGGACCAGACAGAGTCCTGTCATCTGGGGATGAATCTGCAGTCATTGGGAGCATCAAAGATGGAGCAGAAGCTGAGGACAGAGAGCTGGTGAAGCGCTTTGTGGCATGGTGTGGAAACAATCATCTGATCCTGAAGGTCAAAAAAACAAGGAGATGATTGGAGATCTCAGAAGAAACAGGAACAAGTTGAATCCTGTTAACATCCTGGGAGAAGAAGTGGAAGAGTAGAAACACCTTGGTGTTCACCTGGATAACAACCTGGACTGGAGACACAATTGGGAAGCCGTCTGCAAGAGACGCCATTAATATGCAGTACAGTGATCGGGATCCAGGCTGTGTTAGCGCCACAAAACCATCCGGGTCGCCGGCGAACCGTTTCAAAGCGTTTTTGATTGTGTTTTATTACAATGCCTAAGGCTGAAAAAAAAAAGAGAAGAAAATGCACTGGGGCTTATTTTTAGTTAGATTATCTGAGTTACTTCATCAATCCCTGAGTTATTTTAGGTTTGTAAATGTTGCATTTTATTATTCTATGGGTCAAATAGTTCACTAAAAGCATTTGGCACATTTGGAGACGCTGGTGACACCAAAGGTTCAACGCCCCACAGCTCTGGATCTGTTGTAGCTAGAGGTCAGAAATGTTCTGCATTTGTGGATGACATGATGTAGAACAAATTTAATACACTGAGACCTGCCTTTTCTCAAGCATGACTTTATTACTGCTGTTCGAAAAAGACCGATGCAGCTTGGGCTGTGATTTACTCGGTATTTAATTTATATTTTCTAAAAACTAGAAGGTTTTAGCTTTCATGTGATGTATCACGCATGTAATGTGGGCTTACGGTTCCTCAGTTATTTGCTTGTCTATATATATGCAAAATAGGCGAGGATTACTTCAAAATGAGGTGGATGTTAAAGGTCACTGATGTGTAACTTGCACATTTACAGTCAGTAGGCTGTTGCTGCTCCATATGGTGTCTCTTTGAGTCCATCTTCCTGTTGGACATTCCACTGAAACTTTTTCTCCTCTTCGTATTTCAGTACGATGAGTTTTTGTTCCTCTCAGGAGAAATCTGGCGCTCTCCCATCTTTGTGATTTTAATTGGCCTGCTACCTTTACGCACATTCACAGCTTCCTGATTAATTAATGTTGGGTTGAGTTGGCGAGCTGATAACCAGCGTCATGGTACTGCTTATTCTGATTTGCACAGGATAAGGAATCCTTTCCTGTTTGTCTGTGACTCCATCCTGGAGGGAAGCATCAGCTGAGCTGTTGCCATCAACAACTTAGATTATAGATGATAGATTTGGGCTGGTCATCCAGTGTTTAGTCCTGTTTCTCTCCTAAGCATAGCTATTGGCTCACCTCTAACCGGATGTCCTCTCTTTCATCCCCTTTGGCATAAAATCATAAATGTCTTGTACTTGTATAGCATTTGACCACAGAGCTTCACACTACATTGAGTAATTCACTCACCCGTGCACTCTGATGGTGAAAAGCTGCACTGTAGCGACTAACAGGAGACAGGCTGCTGTACTGCCCCTCTGACCGCAATCAGTAGGCAATGAGGGTGAAGAGTCTTAGCCAAGAAAACAACAATACTGAAGGCCAAACTCCTGCATCTGATGCCACTGTTGCTGTGGCTCTAGACGGAGTTATTAAACCATTACGTTTTCAAACAGAAAGTATTTGTAGTTCAGTGCTTCTATGTTCCTTTTCTATGTCTGCCTCTGTCTCCTTGAACTCCAGTCGGCCTCAGCAGATGGCCGCTCACACTGAGCCTGGTTCTGCTGGAGGTTTCTTCCTGTTCAAAGGGAGTTTTTCCTCTCTACTCTCACTGTATGCATGGACAGTGTGAGAGATTGCTGCAGAGTTCATGGCACGCTGCAAGCAAACATCTACAGTCTCTAAATACTCACCCAGGTTTGCATCCAAATTCTGCAAAGTCAAGACTAAGTAAGTAAGTTTAGCAGCTTTTTTAAAGTTTAGAGATTGGAGATTAGATCAATTTGTTTGTTATAATGCTAAAATATGACATCAAACAAACAAAAAACATAAAACTGTGTCTGTGGTAGTTAGGGTAAAATTTTCTAATTTATGGAATATGACTATATATCTGATGTTTAGCTGCGTTATTATAAAGAGAATGTTCTGAAAATAGAGCCGAGTCATGTACTGTTAGAACGGCATGTGCCCGAGGATACAGCCTAGAGGTATTCCTAAAGAAATGCAGACGGTAGAGCAGCCTAAAAACATTACTGCAGAGATTCTTAGATAAAATATTATCACCAACATTATAAAACCAATTCTTAGCTCCTACAGTAAAGGAATGTTATAGTTAAGGAGTCCCAAAAATGTTTAAAATGCTGTTTGAGAGCTTTGAGGAGTCGGTAAGGACTGGAAATGCATAAACACCATTCCTACAATACTTTGCACTTCAGATGAAATTGGTGCTTTTCCATCAAAACGACAAAGAAATTAAGGTTGAGAAAAAACAAGCAGATTTTCAGGCTGTTATTCCTGAGGACACGCAGCTCTGCAGTCATGGAGGAATAACAGCTGCTGCCGTGTAAATAGGACTCACCCAGCGTTGGATCGTACTCCCAGATGAAGCGTCTGGTCAGAAACCTCACCACCAAAGCTGCAAAGTCGAGAAGAAAAATCTAATTTGACATTTTAAAAAAATCAGGCAGGTATAACAGAGCAGATGGTAGTGATTTTTTTTTATTTAAACACATTTACATGATTCGCCAAGTTTGGCATCTGATGTGTTTTCAACCATCAGATAATAATAATAAAGCTAACCATATCAGGCTGCTGCTGTAATTGCTCTCCCTCAGCAGCTAATCACTAAAATATCTTAGTTCTTCTAAAGAAGCTGAAGTTGATTTAAACTAAACTTAAAAACCAATCCTCAGAGTTCCTCCTGAGCCTCTTCTATGCACGGCGTTGGCTCCGCCCCTCACAGAAACGGGCCTTAGAGGAAAAGCAAACATCCTCAGAGACTCAATGGTTTACCATCAACAAGCGCTCTGCTGCGGGGAAACGTTGAGTCTATTTACTCGACCCAAATTAGACAGTTATCTGTTTATCACTCTGAATTCATAATTTTACAAATATGGAGTCAAATATGGAGCAGAATTTCCAGATTTTTGTGAAGAGCAGAGACAGCTGGCCTGATGTTGATATCAGCAGAGATATTTGCTTTTTGCAGATCGAGTCAAAAAGATCACAGGAAAATAGTCGACCGCCTTGGAGACTAAATGATGCTGGAGTTAGTTTATATCCATCCATCCATTATCTGTAATGCTTAACCCA